GTAAAATAATACATTTAAATTATATTATAATACCACCTCTCTAAGTGGTATTAAAATATCTCTATAATACGTATAAAACATATTTGACAAGTATACGATTAATATACATTTTTAAAATTAAAACGATTTCAAATTTTCTTATCAAATAAAATATTATGTCTAATTAAATAAAAAATAATACAATATAATATTTAATCCCTTCCCTTTTGAATACATCTACTAAAGAAGTCCACGATGTCGTTAATGTAAACCTGTCGGTGAACAGCCCAAACATATCATGGTACAACTTTTTGATTGGCCATGCAGGTGGTGGTGTTTTTAGGGCCCATTTCGAAGCATGCTTGTAAAACAAATCAAGTATTAATTTAATGAATAATATTATTTAGACTTAAAAATTTAATTTAATTTGCTGACATAATACTGTGGCTTCAAAATAATCATTGGATCAACACCAAATTTTAATGTTTGGTGGCTCCCACAGTCAATCCAAATATCATAGTGAATTAGGTCAATAAATTAAATCTCAATAATATTGTTCTAAATTAATTGGAAAATTCTTTGACTTTGACTTCCAACTCCTATAACTCCGCCTCATCGGAGGTGGAGCGAAGTTTTAGAGTTGGGACATTTTTTTTGTTTTAGGGTCCAAAATAAAATCAATTGCTAAGGATGTGCAAGAGTTCGAACTTGGTCCATTTCGAACTCATACACACAATCTAACTGCATATAATATATTATTAAGGTAATTGGTTTGAATGATTATTGTATGTAAATCTCTTTCTTAATTTGCCTATAATGTCATCTTATTGTTATATACTGGGTAATTAATGGGGGTGGGTCTAACAATGGTGACGTTGAAGCAGTGGTGTTGAAGTCGTGGCCTTTGCAATGTTTGGTTGCCTCTATCAATGTTCTAGGCAGAGAAAGATTAATTTGTATTATTCCAGTATGAGTGTTCAAATTCTTAATTACCCATAAATTTTGATCTTATTCTATCNTAATGACAATTGAATTTTATCAGTTGAGGGGTTATAACAGTAAATGTGTAAAATAATACATTTAAATTATATTATAATACCACCTCTCTAAGTGGTATTAAAATATCTCTATAATACGTATAAAACATATTTGACAAATATACGATTAATATACATTTTTTAAAATTAAGACGATTTCAAATTTTCTTATCAAATAAAATATTATGTCTAATTAAATAAAAAATAATACAATATAATATTTAATCCCTTCCCTTTTGAATACATCTACTAAAGAAGTCCACGATGTCGTTAATGTAAACCTGTCGGTGAACAGCCCAAACATATCATGGTACAACTTTTTGATTGGCCATGCAGGTGGTGGTGTTTTTAGGGCCCATTTCGAAGCATGCTTGTAAAACAAATCAAGTATTAATTTAATAAATAATATTATTTAGACCTAAAAATTTAACTTAATTTGCTGACATAATACTGTGGCTTCAAAATAATCATTGGACTAACACCAAATTTCAATGTTTGATGGCTCCCACAGTCAATCCAAATATCATAGTGAATTAGGTCAATAAATTAAATCTCAATAATATTACTCTAATTTAATTCGACAATACTTTGACTTTGACTTTCAACTCCTATAACTCCGCCTCATCGAAGGTGGAGTGAATTTTAGAGTTGGGACATTTTTTTTGTTTTAGGGTCCAAAATAAAATCAATTGCTAAGGATGTGCAAGAGTTCGAACTTGGTCCATTTCGAACTCATACACACAATCTAACTGCATATAATATATTATTAAGGTAATTGGTTTGAATGATTATTGTATGTAAATCTCTTTCTTAATTTGCCTATAATGTCATCTTATTGTTATATACTGGGTAATTAATGGGGGTGGGTCTAACAATGGTGACGTTGAAGCAGTGGTGTTGAAGTCGTGGCCTTTGCAATGTTTGGTTGCCTCTATCAATGTTCTAGGCAGAGAAAGATTAATTTGTATTATTCCAGTATGAGTGTTCAAATTCTTAATTACCCATAAATTTTGATCTTATTCTATCCTACCTGACTCTATTATCCGAAAGATTCGGGTAGGCCAACGGAAGTTCTTTCGTATTCCGCAAAAAATTAGGTATGAATGCGTAATTGTGTATTCTTTAGTATTATTGGTTTATTATATTAGTTAATTGGTGCAGGTTACTTAATTAAATTGTTAAAATAATCCAAAAAATAATAACTAAAAAATATGTGTTCATCTGATTTCTTACCTAATTATTTTGGACAAAATTCAGATAGAAATAGTACACTTGATCAGGAAGAATAGGCCAAGAATTTTTTTTTCACAAAATATCGAGTAAGAAGATGAAATAACATAATTTCTACTCGTTCGATAGGATAGGGTGAACACCCCTATATTCCACCTTGCAATTGATGGGGGTGGGTGGGCCAATATACAACAACGCCCTTGGACTTAGCTAAACCAAAATATCAATAGATTTTGGGCTTTTTTTAAAAAATGAATTATCAGGAATGGGCCAATATTTCGTTAAAGTCCAAGTTCTTGAACACTGTTTCCCCCACCATGTCTGGCCATTTTTGTTTCGGCCGGTTTCAGATTGCAAAGACATAAAAGAAGATTTAATGATGGTGTTTTTTTTTTTGACCAGGATGATGGTGTTATTTAAATTGAAATATAAGGTAAAAATTTATGGCACATTTAAAATAACGGCAATTTAATTGTTTTTATTATTGTTATAGTACCCAAAAAAATGATAAAAATAGTTAACATAATAATGGTAAAAATATCCACTAATGTGATAAAAAAACACCTACAAATATGGTATACCATCTACAAAAATGATAATTTTTTTATTATAAAATAAACCTAAAAAATTATAAAAAAATACCAATAAAATTAATGTAAATTGGAGGGACGATACCGCAATCTTTTATTTGATACCGTAGTCAAGTTCAAATTTCTTTTATCCGGTACCCTAGCCAAGTTCAAATTTATGTAGTAGCAAAGTCTACTGAGCAAACAAGCTCCAACGACATAATATCCACGTTTGTGGGTCAATTGGTCTTTAATTTTAGGATTTGTGTATGGTATCAACAAAAATTTTGGTATTGTACCCATATTTAATCATATCTTTTAGTAATTTTATTGTTGTTGTGAGTGTTTTAATCACTATTGTAGTACCAGAAAAAAAAAAAAAAAGTTACCACAACAATGATAAAAAATGCTCATAAATGTGAGAAATTTCACACAAAATGTTTTTTTTTGTATCAAAGAAAAATAATAAAAATAGTTGTCACGACTGTAATAAAAATACCTACATATGTAATAAATATTTTAGTTGTGAAATAACTAACAAAAATTATAAAAACATCCATTAAAATAATAAATTTTGAAGAAACGGTACCGAATTTTTTTTTTTTTTTAAGGTAGAGTAATCAAGTTCTCAATTTTAATGAAACTTCTCGACCAAAAAAAAAAAAATTAATGAAACTTTACCTAACTTAGTTCTCCAAAAATCCACCTCTCAGTCCGACCACATGGATTTATGCAACTTTCCAAATAACTAAGAAAAGAAAGATGCACTTCCCAGGAAAAAAGAAAAAAAGAAAATTGGACGGCCAAAGTGCCCAACCCTAATGTAACGGCTAAGAAATGAGCTTTGCTTTAGTCCTACTTATCCCCAGTCTTGACACGTGGTGGATTACCCAATGCATGGATGCCACGTGTGCATAAAATTATCCCATTGGCTCTCTCCTTGTCATGGGTATGCTTGACTAAGAAAGTTTGGCAAAGACCGGTTCAAATCTTCTTAAATTAGGAGTCATGATTCATTCCAGCATAATTCCCATTAAAATACATGATCACCTATAACATAGAAACTTCACGAGAGTTGTGTAAGTATTAATTATTTTATAAAAATGGGAAGTTTAATTTGAGAATAGATTTTCATCTAATAGGGTATCTATAATCATTCTTGACTATTATCAATCACAATATTTATACATGTTTGAGCCCTAAAGTGGTAAATTTTGGTAAATCGGACGTACTAATTTGCATTGATTCTATATTTGAGCTCTTTAAATAATATAAATATAAACTAACTCGATCAAAATTAAAATAAAAAAAGTAATTACATCAACAATCGGGGGTAATTTCATAATTATTTCTATATGAGACTATATTAATTGATAAAACAAAAAATAATAGAGTTGTTACATTTAAATATTTTTAAAAGTAGTCGATTACGTGCCCGAAAAAATTTGGTATTATAGCTTAATTTAACACATTTTTGGTTACTTTTATTATATTTATGAATGTTTTTATCACTATCCAAAAAAATAGTTACAACAATAGTGATAAAAATTTCTAAAAATATAATAAAAATATCCACAAATGTAATAAATTTCTCACAAAATTGGTAATTTTTTTTTGTACCGAAGAAAAGTATGATAAAAATATCCCTAAAAGTGGTAAATAAACCACAAAAACAATAAATTTTTTGGTTATAAAATAACTTACCAAAAAAGAAAAAACACTCTTTAAAATAATAAATTTTAAAGGTGTGATGCAGAAATTTTATTACGGTACCGAAATTTTTTTGACAAAATACCACATTGTAAGTCGTTCTTAAATTATTTAAAATATACATAAATAATATTTTATAAAAAAAAAAAATCACCCGTTCTCCCCAGCCCTCAAGTGGCTCCGCCTATGCAGAGGCGACGTTACAGTTTAATATTTTCTCACAAAATTGGGCAACCCATGTGACCAAACCTGTCAAACTCTCTCTCTCTCTCTCCACACTTTCCATGGTCTGTAATCTGCCTCTATTACAAGAGATTCACTCCATCCTCGCTACAGATTACAGGCCACTGGCGCTCCCCAACCCTCTTCCCCCACTATAAAACACCACACATAACCCACCAATCCTTCACCGCCCTCTCTCTCTGTGTTTGCATCTACACGCACAGAAAGATATTCTCTCTTTATCTGTGCAACAATGGCTCAACCATCAACTCCAGTATCGCCGCCGTTGAAGGATGAGCTAGACATTGTGATACCTACAATAAGGAATCTTGATTTCTTGGAGATGTGGAGGCCATTTTTCCAGCCTTACCACTTGATCATAGTCCAGGATGGAGATCCCTCCAAGACCATTCAAGTCCCCGATGGCTTCGATTACGAGCTCTACAACCGCAACGACATCAATCGGATCTTGGGTCCCAAGGCCAGTTGCATCTCTTTCAAGGACTCTGCTTGCCGTTGCTTTGGCTTCTTGGTGTCTAAGAAGAAGTACATCTTCACCATAGATGACGACTGCTTTGTAAGCCCTCCTCTCTCTCTCTCTCTCTCTCTCTCTATATATATATATATATATATATACACACACACACATATATATGTTCGAGTGTATAATGTATGCATTACCCTGAGTTTGTTGGTTGGAGAAGTGACTCGGTGTTTGAAACGGTTGAGTTCTGTGACGAGTTGGTTTCGATCTATCGAAGATCTTGCGAGGATATTTTCATGGGATCCAATTAGTCAACTTGTTCTACGAGAAAAGTCTGGGTTTCATAGATTGGGCAGAATTCTTCTAGGTCTGAGTACACCGTTTGATCGTAGACCGTCTCAGGATCTATTTTATCTCCCCCAAACTGGAATAGGGAACATGGTCTAATTTGTCGGCTGAACGTTTCTATGGTGGGACCGTTACTTTCACTTATTGGGTCCCGCAGTGTAGAGAGGTCTTTGTAATTTTTATTGTTGATGTCACCAATGGCTGCGATTTTATGTTTGTTTCATTTGTTGACAGTGACCTACTCGATTGCGACGGTTTTCGTGCACGTCAAAAGTTTTTTGAGTCAAGTCACCATTAAGTCTGAGATCTGGCCAAGTTGGTCCACACATCTAAATGGCTATGGCCCCCGTTAAGTAGGTAATGGCCCACACATGAAGAAATGGAGACAAAACCTAGGAGACTACATGGTATAGATCCACAGCCTCCACTGCCGTTCCATACAAGTAAAACCTTTTATTGCCACCCACTCAACTACGGTGTTTTCGGTGCAGTATTTTTAAAAATTTATTATTTATTATTTTTATAGTTATTTTTATTATGTTGCGATAATTATTTTTATATTTTTTTTTGATATAAAATAAATTATTATTTTTGTAAGTATTTTTATCATATTTTTTTGGTACCACAACCCGCGATGAAATGCCCACATCAATGATAAAAGTATATATAATTATCATAAATGGAGGTATGGTATTGATTATTTTTTTTTAAGTACCATAGACAACTTCTTTATTGATAACCAAACATTTGGATTTAGTAACTTCCTTTCTTTCCAAATTTAAGTAGTTTAGACACACATAGAATGAGTAATAGGAGTTGAATTAAATTGATTTGTTTTTTCTGTGTTTTTTGGTAACATCATTCATTTATATGTAGATTGCTTCAAATTTGAACAAGACGATTGGACAATACAATTAGATATGAGTGTTTAATTGACTAAATACTGTTAAAACACTAATACTTCATTACGTCTCTTCTCTTCGAGTGCAGGTTAGATTTTGGGTTTTAGATTAGAGTGGTGACGAGATTTCTTGCACTGATATTATTATGTTAAACTAAACATTATCTAAATATTTAAGTTGATAGAAATAGTGTAAGTTAGGCCTATCATCTGGTCTTCATGAGCCTGATAGCCTCTTGTTTTTGTTTGGTTTAAAGACTTGATGACAAAACTCCATTCTGTTTTCTCTATGTTCTGTGGTGTTTGTACATATTGAAATGGCAAAAAGGTGGCCAAAGATCCAAGTGGGAAGGAGATCAATGCGTTAGCACAGCACATAAACAACCTCCTCACTCCATCCACACCCTTCTTCTTCAACACCCTCTATGATCCCTTCAGGGACGGTGCTGACTTCGTCCGGGGCTACCCTTTTAGCCTGAGGGAAGGAGTGCCCACTGCCATCTCTCATGGCCTCTGGCTCAACATTCCAGACTACGACGCCCCTACTCAGCTCGTCAAGCCTCGCGAGCGCAACTCCAGGTTTTCTCTTCACTCGATTGCTCAAAAGTTTTTGCAAAATATAAATTAAGGATAAAGGATATTGTCAAAACAAATGATTTATTTAGCCGGTTTGATTGGATTAAGTTTCGTTTGAAAGCTTTGTTTACATTAATGTTCACTTGATATGTGCATTAATACTAGCTCACCCAGGTATGTGGATGCTGTAATGACGATACCCAAAGGCACCCTCTTCCCAATGTGTGGGATGAACCTTGGATTCAACAGGGAACTGATTGGCCCAGCCATGTATTTCGGGCTAATGGGTGATGGCCAACCTATTGGCAGATACGACGATATGTGGGCTGGCTGGTGTACCAAGGTATCTTCTTCATTCTCTTTATCCTGAAGATTAATTGTTGATTCACCTGTTCCTAATAATCGGCTTTTTTCTAATGGATTGTTAGACTGGCCGCCTTCTTATATTGAGCAATGTACATTAATTTAATTTAATTTACTTTATCCTAAGCAAGGATCAAATTTTCGTTTCGGTTTGTTCACCATAGAAATGGAAACGTTTTTGAAACACATTGAAATGCTTCGAACTATTTCGGAAATATAATAAAAAAAATAAAATATTTAAGAATTTTTTTTAAAAAATATTGGTCGAAATATATCAAAATCTTAAAATATCTTGAAACATTCCGAAATAATTGTATAAATGTATTAAAATATTATTAAACATTTCAAAATATTATGAAACACTTTAAAATATTAAAATTTTAATTTTATTATTGATTCGTTTCGGTCTCCTTAGAAATATAGAAACATTTCAAAATGAAGATCCTTTCTCTTAAGTAATTTGGCCGTGGGTGGGATCTTTCGTTTGTCAGCTGGCAATCAACGATATGAAATTCTGACGTCCGAATGAAATCCGTCTTCTTCTTCTTTCGGATGTTCGAGACATGTAGAATTTGTCGGATATGTTAGGCCATGAACTGTATGGGTATTTTCACCCTCCAACTTTATAAATCCGTTATACAAACCCTGGTGTATATGTCTATTGAATGCATTTTCTCAGGTGATCTGTGACCATCTGAGTCTCGGAGTGAAGACGGGGCTGCCATACCTTTGGCACAGCAAGGCGAGCAATCCATTTGTGAATCTGAAGAAGGAATACAAAGGCATATACTGGCAAGAGGAGATCATACCATTCTTTCAATCACTTGCGCTCCCTAAAGAATGCACTAGCGTGCAGAAATGCTACATTGAGCTCTCAAAGCTGGTGAAAGAGAAGCTCGGCCCTGTTGATCCCTACTTCCAGAAACTTGGGGATGCCATGGTCACCTGGATCGAAGCTTGGGAGGAGCACAACAACCCGCTTGCACAAGCAGCATCCAAGCCCGAACCTAATGACAAGAAGGATAAGCCTTCTGCAAAATCCAAATAATAAACACCCCTACAGTGTTATTGAGAGTTGAACTTCGGATCGAAATCTCCAGTGTTTTTTAGTGTCTTCGCTGTTTTTCATGCCTAGGTAGTATGGTTAATGTATTGAGCAAACACAATTTCGAATTAAATTTGTCATCCTACAACTTTATTTCACCAACATCAAAGAAAGACTCGGGCTATATAATACTGGTATTTTTCAATGGTGTTGATCAGAACTTCTAACATGTTTTCTTTTTTTCTTTAATTTGATTTTATAACCTGAACGTCTCCAATGCACAAAACTCTCGTTATTGCATGGTTTAAGAAGGATTAGATATACGCATCTTTATCTTTGTAAACAGAGAGATTGGTTTTGTCGCTTGAATTATTTATCTCAATGTTACAATAGAACAACCTTATACCGTTGTGCCAAAGCCCGCTGCCCTCTAATGTTATTATGTAATCCATGGGCTAAACAGTTCAAGAATATAGGCTTTGTTGGTTTATACTTTCCTAAGCTTTTTTGGAGGGATTAACATTTACGATCTTAAATTTTTAATTTAATTATAAACCTATAAAATGAATCTTTTTATTAATAAGACCTAAAGTTGCTATTTCAATAGCCTTACAATTGGGCTGGCGATGTTAAACTTCACCATTCCACGCCATTTGACCCATCAAGGCGTGTCAACCACACCTCCGCCTTCTATTTCAAAATGAATTACACTTAGTCAGGTACATGCGTCCTGGTACACCAATCTATTTCATTTTTGTTTCCCCCAGTGGTGGATGAACCATCATAAATTCAAGTGAAATCCACTATCTGTAAATAGATCCCTTAAATACGGCCTCCGTTCTTAAATATCTGTCGTTTTACATAATTTTTTTTATTCCATAATATTTGTCATTTTATAAAATCAAAGTATAATTAATATTTTTTCTTTTAAATTTATCCTTAACTTTTCAATGCATTAAATTAGGTGGAGGTTAAGTGTCTTTCATATTCTTTTTACTTTCAATACGTATTGAATAAGGCTATTTTAATCTTGTGTAATTATTTTTTATTCATATTACAACTATTTAATAGCTTCCTTAATCCCTGTGCAAAAACCTTAAATAACAGATATTTAGGAACGGAGGGAATACGTGAAAAAACCAACAAATAAAAATTTGTTTAGAGAAAGTATACCACAGGACATCTGAATCCCCCATTGTACAAGTGNTAACAGATATTTAGGAACGGAGGGAATACGTGAAAAAACCAACAAATAAAAATTTGTTTAGAGAAAGTATACCACAGGACATCTGAATCCCCCATTGTACAAGTGTAATAAGTCAAGAACTCCAATTAATACAATGTGAATCCCATCCTAAAATAACCTACAAAATCCAATTTTTTTTCTAAGTATTCTAGAAAAAGGAACAAAACTTCTGTGAACTTTTCTCATAATCAAAATCATGAGTTAAAAAGCAAAGAAGTATAACCTCCCAGACCAACTCTGCCTAGCTATGTGTGTTGGTGTTTGATATGTCTTCTATTATGCCCTTCCCATCCACAGCATCAAAGAAGAAAAAATTCTTGAGGGGATCTCCTTTGCCTGATATAGCTTTAATAACTTCCTATAAATCAAATGTTAAATGGACTAATAAATTAAATGACACATTTCAAAATAACATAATTCAATTGCTAAGATGGGGCGTTGATGCTATCACCTGTCCAAGAATTCCCCCTATTATGGCACAAACAGGAGGGAATTCTGTTGTACTCGCCAACAATCTTTCTAGAAGAGAATCAGGAATCTGAGCTTCACTTGGTGACTGCAAGGACACAAGGTAGTTTAGATAACACGATGCATGGTTTGATTATATAACTGGACCAACTTTAAGTAACATACATGTGCCTCACAAAGGTCCTTCCGCAACTTTAGGACAATAGGAAGGTCTGCAGTAGAAGTTTCTCCAGGATTACGCCCCTCAGCCTCTTCGAACCTTTCAAGCACTGCCAAAAATAATCAGTTGGTAGGATCATCCAGTAAAATTGGCCATCAGAGGCCCAAGTGCAAAGAAGGAAATTGGCAACATATAATCAATAATCATATCCCAAGCACACAATCTGAATCTGGCATAAGATAAAGGAGGAGAAAGAAATACCAAATCAATAGATTTTTGTACTTCTGATGTCTGGAATTGTGGAAAGCATTATGTTTGTCCCTACCTAAGAGGACTTTCCAGCTTCCCCTTAGAAGCACAAGACCCCACTCTGAGAATAAAGATGACAAAACAGCTGAATAACTTGTAGTACCTCTCATAGCAAAGTAAAGCTTTGACACCCTCTTCGGAAGAGATCTCCATGGTATTGCAATTGCATCCTGCAAGAAAAGTATCAGGTCAAATGTCACAATTAATAACAATAAGTATGCAATTGAAGAACCTTCTCAGGAGTTCAATGTTTAGCAATTTGCTTAATTTATCTTTTTACAGCAGGTACAACTTAAGTTTAGGAAAGAATGCGGCAGGTTGCACCAGATATGGGACTATATTCCACTACTTAAAATTGATCAAATGGCTAGGACTAAGCAATTTCATCAGTCCTTTAGACAGCATAACCTAGCAGACTTGTTACATAGAGCAAATGGATAGATAGATCTCAACGTCAGTTCGCAAACAGTTGGAATCTATTGGACTGCAACAACGACTATATTTTGCATGTTCATGCTGTATAAATCTATCTATATTCATCAAGGAAAGAATGCATGCAAAGAAGAGTTGTCTTCAAAAATTCCCCTTCAACAGCCTCATGAATAAACATAGGATAATACAAAGCCAACTGAACTCAACACATAANGCATGCAAAGAAGAGTTGTCTTCAAAAATTCCCCTTCAACAGCCTCATGAATAAACATAGGATAATACAAAGCCAACTGAACTCAACATATAAGCTGCTAAAAATTTGATGTGTCATACCTCAAAAGTGGGATACTGTAGTAGACATTCAATTGTTTCTTCAAGTTTTTTCTGTCAAAGGAGAAAAAAGGGAAAACATACAAACCATTGTTAATAAACATCTGATGAGCTAGCAAGACAGCTAAGTGCATCCACAGAATCCAAGATTCATTGAACTTGTAAAGAAGCAGCGCATCCAGAAGTGGGATGTTAAAATCTGTGAGTGAAAAGTTCACAAAAATCTAGACATTACTAGACAGTAAAAAGCCTCGCAAGAAATGTTGGCTACATATTTGACCCTCCAATCTAATATACAATCACTAATTCTGAGTAATCTTCAGAAACTTCCATAAAAACGGCAAGAGGGACCGGAAGAGACATTGCCAGAGGTACCAAGATATTGCCCCANAAAAAATTTGCCGACAGTAATTCATCGGTCACCGGACGATCATCATTCAAAGTTAAACTACCTACTCCTGCTAGAACAATGTTCTTGCAAAACTGAACCGAACTAACATTAGCCAAATTTTAGAATTTTATATTCACTTCCAAACGTGCTGAGAAATTCATGTCATTTACAGATTCAAATATGAGAACGACTTGAAAACTACCTCAACAACAGTGCCTCTGAGTCCACTAACTAGTATATGAGATTTGCTCAGTCTAAAGAAAGCAACCAAAGTTCATAAGAAAAGACCGAATATATATATATATATATATATATATATAGAGAGAGAGAGAGAGAGCGACGCACCTTCGTTGAGCATCAACGCCCCAAACCCTAATTTGGCGATCGTACAGAGCAGTTTCCTGCTCAGTCAATTCCTCATTGCCCATTCCCAAATTTAACCTCAGAGAGAGAGAGAGTAAAACCGTGGAGTGAAAATCAGAGTAAATGGAACGAGCTCTGCGCGCGGTGAACTGCAATCTGAAGATCAAAGTGAAGGCTGCGGCGAGAAGGGAATTGAAATCTTTCTCCAGGGGTAATTTGGTAATTATATGCATGTTTTGTGGATCATAGGTTACATAGCCGTCCAAGGTAGCAAGCCTAATCCTATAATAGTGTTCGTTTGGGGCCTGATCCACTGATCCAATTACTTCATCATGTATAAAAGTTTAGGAGTCCCAAAGAAAAATAAGTGCGATAAAACATATTGGCAGCATTTCGCTACATAGACACCCTTCAAATTTTGACAATTTCTTAAGTCAGGTTATAAGAGATTTATTTATCATAAATATTTTAGTTTTGACATAAATGATATATCTTTGACCGGACCTGAGAGAAAATTAATCGAAATGTACATCAGTTGATCTGAACACTACTTTCAGTTGAACAAAAAAAAAGAAGCATTTAACTACATATATGACCATTAATAAACAGTCATAAGTAAACTTATTTGATGGTGGTATATATCATCCGAAACTAAGCAAATCCCGATGGATCATACGTGATTAGTAAGTGAACTGTCAATTAAATTAAAAGTTTCTTCTGGTATCATACGTGAAACTTGTAGTGCACCGACAACAATAATAATATGGGAACTGCCCTCTAGCCGTAGGCACAGTGAGACTGTGGGGGAAGCAGACCCATGGGTACTGGGTAGTTACCGCTTTAATGGGTTGTCCCTTGTTTTAGAAGTATGATATCTCTGGTTGATTCTCCAATCAAGGTGGAGTAATGGAGCGTGGTTTTTTTGCCTGCTAATTAAACCCGATGGATTTGGTCATGACCGTTTGCCGGCTCTTAATTGAGATTAAATACGAGTTATGAGAGAAAATATATGGAGATCCTCTTGATTATATTTTTAATTAATTTTACTTAATAATAAACCACCTATTATCAGAGAAAAGCATAAAGAGAATTCAAATGCAAAGAGAGTACGTGTTTTATACTTATATTTTTTTATTAGTCTAATGATTCTAATAAAATTATATAATTAATTTAATTTAAATTTTAAAATTTAAATATCATTACTCCATTTCAAACGGCGATGGAACGCAGAAGAAAGCAATGGGATATTAATGCTCACAAGTGCTTGGTTGGTTGTCTCCAACAAGATCTGACAGCTCATGTTAGTGCATTATGTGACTCTGAAATGGGAGTTAGGCATAGTACCACTAATTAATAATAAAATATTAAATAAATAAATAAATTTTACTTTGATAGTTATTGATCTTTATATAAAAAAATAAATAATTATTGACTTACATGAATAAAAAGTTATTGGCTTGTATGGGGTTTGTTTTCTTATTTATTTATATATTAGTATTAATTAGTCATACCACGTGGCAAATGCTAATGCGATATCACCATTGTGATGAATATTTTTTTCTTAAAGGGGGTGGTTTTCTTGATGGAGTGGATTATAGTACCAAATAATTTTTTTTTAGTATTATACCCCCATTTATTATATTTATGGTTATTTTTATCACATTTGTGAGTGTTTTTATTACTGTTACAATACCTAAAAAAATCATAAAAAAAATTACCACAACAATGGTGAAAACACCCACAAAAAATGATAATTTTTTTGTAGAAAACAAAGTGGTAAAAATAATTATCACAAATATGATAAACACCCACAAAAAAAGATAAATCATCTACGGTAATGATAAACTTTTTAATTATAAAATAACTCACTAAAATTATAAAAATATATATTAAAATAATAAAAATTTAAGGCACAATACCGATATTTTTTCTTCGGTACCGTAACCATCCTTTATTGGTAGGTATTTTAACGTTGGGCCCTAAAGCAATTATGGGTAAATAGATGTGCGTGCAAGATCCTGTACAATATAAAAAATGAGAACAGATCTCTCCCTTGGTGAACTCGAGTGAGCCAGTTGAGTGACCAACCACGCTGCTCGGAACAGCCTGCGAGGTCCGGTGGTAACCTGGAACGGCAACGGGAGACCCTGGGGGAGCGGAAGAACGATCCAGTAAGACTGAAAGAGATTCCTGGAACAAAGAAGAACAAGTTAGAAGGGCATCGGAGTGTTTTTCGGCATATCCCCTCCGACGATCTAGTCAGTCTTTTAGAAAGAGAGAGGAAGGAGAAAACACTGAGTGAGTATTGTAGTAAATAGTTTTTTGTTGCCTCCCCGTCTTGCCTTTTGCAAGGAGTATTTATATCTCAAAAGCTCATGAATGCTGTCAGTGTAGTCAGTAGGTGATCATTAGGTACAGGCAGTGTGCGCACTGATTCTGATGAGGAATGTCTTCTCTTCTTAACTGCTCGGGGTCCCGAGCAATCAATGTTGTGTCATCGGGATGCCGACGGTACAATTTACTCCTCTCGGGGAGGATGCAATAAATGCTCTGTATTAGGAGCATTTATTGTCTTTCATTTCCGAGCCTTACCGTATTGAATGCGGTCTCATCAAGGGAATGATGTAACTAATAGTTTGCTTTCTTAAGTCGCGTGTCAGCAACGGCATGCGGTTTCTCTGTCTTCGATGTGATATCATACGCCACGCGTCCATCCCCTATTGGCTGTGACCCCTGCCTTCCAGTACGTTTTGACACTAATTGTGTAAGACGAGGTCATGATGAATAGCCTAGGCTAATGACCTGTACATCAATAGCTTATCCTGGAGTAGAGGAAGCATCTAAGACGGGATACCTCTCGGCACCGAGGAAAGACTCATCTCGGAACCGAGGGAGGTATGCCGACCGAGATACCATATCAGACCGAGGCCACGTGTCGGTTGTAAAACATATTGAATGCATGATCCTATATGACGGTACCTCGGGGGCGAGGACCTTTGTGCGCCGATGGTGTTCGATCTTAACAACAGTATTTTGGTAATATCGAAGACACGTGTCTTCATCATGGAACATTTCAAAAAAGTCCTATCAATAGACATTACCTTTCCTGCTGTACTTTAAAATTATGAATTTGAATCTAGATATCTCCGTAACTCTCAACAGAAAAAATCATAGGTCAACATTATTTGAAGTTCGTTTATGCGGTTGTCCAACTCTGTCTGGGTGCCCCATCAGACCCAGTTTTCTTAAAGCTGGTGAGCAGCAATTCTTCACAAATATCAGCAAAATTCAAAGCTAATCACTCATGTGGTCCTTATTGGAATTAGGCAGCTAGTTTTCCACTCTGTCATATAAGTATTGTTTATAATTTTTTGTTTTTCACTTAAAACCATAATAAAAAAAAATAAAATTAGTATTTTTTTTTTAAGATAAAATTATATCAACAAATTTTACACTATTACTCTAGAAAATGGTATGCAAAGTGAAGCAACTGTGAATTAATTTCACGTCTTTTTATCTTTTTTGTAATATCAATAAGTACCTATTACGAACGTCTTTCTTTATCGATTCTAAGACAACTATGATAGAAGTTATGGCTGAACCAATCACTAGGCCATTAAAGTCCGGATTTTAGAAAAGACCTTATGATTTTTAGGTGTATAGTAATAGCCTAAATAAAAAAATTTGAATCCATAACAAGCAAGCCCAAATAAAATATTTTAACTTGAGTAAATTGGGCTTATTAATTCAATCCATGAAATTAAAAGGCCCTAAAATTTAATTTTTTAAAAAAAAAAAAAGTTAACAATAAAACTAGAACTACTAAAAATTAAGTCATAATCTCCCCAAAAAAATCAAATTCAAATTTACCAATACCATCATGATTTTTTAATCATTTTTCCTCCTCTCTCTCTTACCATCAATTTCAATTTTGATAACAAAAGTTTGAATATAAAATTTTAATTAATATATTTGTATTTCAAAAAATAAGAAATATTGTTAATATTAAAATAAAAAAAGTCTCTTTTATTGTTATTGCTTTAGACCCTATAATATTCCGGGCCTCTCCTGATTAAAGATAAAATGTGACACACAAAGCAGTCAGAATTGTATTTTCAAATAAATTTTAAAAAAGTTGGTGTAAAAAAGAAAGGTTAGACCTTAGCTTTAGTTCCATAAATTGAACGTTTTTTTTTTTTTTTTTTTGAAAAGATAAATCGAATGTTGTTTTCGACTATGTTTGAGGGTAAAGGTTATAAATGTTCATACTAAAGGATGCCCAGCATAAAGACATGCCATCAAACGAGGAACATAATCCACATGCTTTGTCCTAGCCTCCCAGGCATCCACATTGTGTACTTCCTTTTTATTGGTCTCTCAAGGTGAAAGGGACAACACAGCCTGTCCCCTATTTCCCTTTCTTTATCAACTAATACCTTTCAAACCAACCCCCTTATGAAGAAACTATATGCTTTATCTGTAACACTATATCTGCATGAAAAGAAATTAGAGAAGCCATGAGAAAATTTCTATTCTCTTTCCTCCTCTTGGGGTTTAACTATAGTACAAAAAGATTCGATAATAAATTTTTAAGAGTGGTCCAATAATTGAGTTTGACCTCTGATAATTCAAAAGTTTCAAGTTCAATTCTTTTTCATACCTCGTAAGAGCTAACCACCCTTATTCTTTTAAGAATATGTTCTAACTCAAATCATGTTACGGGAGCCAACTGTTGAATTTAATAGAGTAGTGAACGTAAACCTAGACATCCTATAACATCAAAAAAAAAATTCAATAACATATCAGTTACCATTTTTTTTTTTTGTTCGAGTGCATTTATTTTTTTAGGTTCACTCAAACAAATTATTATAGATCAACTAAATTTCATTAATGTCATATTTTTATTAACACAAGGGAAAGTTTTTTTTTTATTTTTTGATCAAATCCTATCTAGTGACTCTAACAGAGTCAGGGTTAGGAAAGACATATTAACACACTTACACACCCGAAGCTATTCGATGTAGGATAGTCCAATCTCCTGATACCCCAATGTGATTACCATAACGGTAGGGCCTTTAACCTAAAGCGTGGGATTTCAACCCAACACCAAATACTATTGTTGAAGAGGTTCAATCTTTTTTGATCAAATCCTAACCACCGACTCTAACACAGTAAGTGGTTAGAATTTGATAAATAATAATTTATATAAATTATTATTTAGTACTTGCCTACCTTTGTCTATCCTCCCACCAAACTAATTACAATTTAAGAGCAGACTAAATCTCCGTCTGTCAAATCCCTTCCATTTCCATTTATTATACATTTTTTCCGGTATCTGCAAAAAATCCACAATGGTTTTCTCTAAAGAGAACCGAGAGTGATTCTCCTTATCCTACACCACTCTGCTTTTTGTTTCTTCCTTTGTTGTCCTTAACTACCCTCTTTACTCATTTAGGAATCCATGTCAGAGAGCGAATGGCTGAAAAGTCTGCTTCTCTGCAATTGTCTGTAAGTACTCTCCAGGAATGAATGGCTGAAAAGCTTAAACCAGTCTTCTTCTCCCGCCCTTGTTTTTAAATACTCTCTCTCCTCTCTCTCAATCCTCAAACTTTTTTATTTGATTCTTTTAGTAAGCTATTCTTTTCTGGACTATAATATCTGCTACTTTTGCTACTTGGTAGTTATGTTTCTAATTTGGGCTTCTTACCTTCGTTTCATGGTTTTTTTTCTTTTCTGTAAATTGCAATGTGCTTCTTAGATACCCATTAGTGGATTTAGGTCTTCGTCACTGTAGTTCAATAATTAGGTTTTGCGGGAAATTTTACAGTTTCAAGCTACCCAATACTTGTTTCTGTGAGGTGGGTTGTCATCTGGGTAACAATTAGAAAGCTCATATACCCAGATTTGGGTTGATATTGACTGATTGCTCCTGCTGGTCTCGATGCATTTGGAAATTAGACCGTGTTTTGTGCTCATACAAGAAGTGAAAGTGAAGTCACTAAGTTGGGTTCTTTAAGTTGTGGAATGTAGCAGGAAACAAAAAACAGAACAGAGGATCAAAACAGGGAAAAGGAGAAGAAGAGTGGGAAAGTACTGAAAGGGATAGACATTATGGACTGGAATTTGAAGACATACTCTTGGGATTTACCCCAATTTGAGCAGGAAACAATTCCCAATATGGATGCAATTAGTGGGTCGAGTAGCTTTGTAGGACAGGGAATTAAGGGAGACTTTTCAATTGATTTGAAGCTTGGTCAGGTGGCTGATGCAGGCAATGAATTAGCAGATAATTTAAAGGTGCCAAGTGTTTCCCAAACGGCATTATCGGCATCAGGATCATCGAAGAGGCCTCGAGGGAATGGTAATGGAAATCAGAGAGCATCGTGCCTCGTGGATGGGTGCAATGCAGACCTTAGCAAGTGCAGGGATTACCATAGGCGCCATAAGGTCTGTGAGCACCACACTAAGACTCCACAGGTCACAATTCGTGGTCAGAAGCAACGCTTCTGCCAGCAGTGCAGCAGGTAATTGGTTCTTCTGATGGGCTCATTCATTCTTTCAGGTGTTATGGTTAAAATCCATCGGGGTTTTCTATTGTTGGAACGTCATGTTATAAAGGACATTATATCCACTGAATGATAATTGTGTTTTCACTTTCCAAGATAATTGTTATTTTCAAGTGTGAATTTTGAACCACATTGCTTTTCTTTGCTGCTTAGTTTTTGTTTCTTGTTTCATTCTTTTGCTGATAGCTTGGGGTCTTACCGAATCGGCACATATGAATCAGCTCAGTCATGTCTTATTGTTAAATCATATTTGGCAACATTTCGAGAGGTTTGTAATGATCTTCAGTTAAGCTGCAAGAATGATGTTATTGTTCTGTATTGAAGGACTTGTTAAGATCGGGTAATGTGATGATAACACATTACGTTGATCTTACTCACAAGTGTGGTAAGGTTTTTGTTGTTGGTTTTTTGGGTTTTTTTTTTTTTTGGTGGGTGGGTGTTTTAAGTATCTTTCTAGAGCTTACAAGTACCAACAAAGAAATCCAGACTAAAATTTCACCCAGTAGCCGATCCTCTTTTCTTGATTCGGCGAATGGTATGAGAATGAACAATAATGGCGTCTAAAGGTAATTGATCTAGAAAATAAAACACGAATTTCTTTTGAAATTTTGCTTCCTTTCACAATTTACTAATCTAATCCCCTACCCATCAAGCCTCTTATATACTACTTTTGCTTATCTTACCCATTATATAGGCATGGTTTACATCCCACGGTGACCAGAATACACGTTTCTTCCCACTTCGGAGATCATTCTTGCCAGAAAAGACTACTGCAACTTCACTGACATCCCATCTTTAGTCTCTAGACTGATATATTCTTAGTGTCAATTTCTGAGACAAGAGTATTGGAATGATTTTTTTCCATAAGAGGGCCAACCTGGATCACAGATTTTAAAAGTATAAATTTCAATGAAAATTTGAGTATATACTCTTCTTGATATTCTGACCAATTACTTGTGTTTGCTCAGATCACACCCTCCTAATTTTAAAATGTTGAGGAATAGTTTTTAATTTCTGCAGCTATTGAAAACCAACTGTAAAACCATATTTTGAAAGTCATCATTCCTTATTGAATTCTAAAGACAAACATTCTACCGTAGTAGGTGTTGTAACGAGTTTCACGTGCTTCTTTCTCAAAATAAAGTCTCATATTAGTGAACCTAAAATAACAGAGGATGTTGATTGCATGACCCTGGCTATAGTTCAAAGACAGTTCCCTTACTTGGATCATTATTTGTCTCGGGCAGTAAAAATGGACATGTGCAGCAGGATTTTATCAATTGTTTTGTCACCCTTTTTTGCAGGTTCCATTCGCTTGAGGAGTTTGATGAGGGGAAGAGAAGCTGCAGGAAGCGTCTTGATGGACACAACCGTCGGCGACGGAAGCCACAGCCGGAACCCATGTCTCGTCTTGGGAGCTTAATGTCGAATTACCCAGGTTTACATTCTGATTTCAACAGCTTCTACATTGAGATGGCTTTTTCTGTGCCATTATTCCTTATACGGCAGCCAAACGAGCCCCATGAGTTCATTATCCTGATAAAATAACTGCTGGATAGAGTGAATCCATCTTGGTTTTCACTTTTCAAGCTTGTAAGCATGTGCCCACAATCCACACACTGGTCAAACATAACCTATAAAGCTTTTAAATTGAAGCTTCAAGTCAGCAGAGTTATTCATAAAATTTCCTGGTTGATGTTCAAGTTAACTACCAAAAGATCTGTTTAGTTGACACACGTTACGCAGTAAATGTCAAGACATCTAATTTGTTGTATTGGCGCCTTTCAGGTTCCGGATATTTGTCGTTCTCCAGTGCACAGTCATTTCCAATCGCTGCTGCATCAAATCCTATCTGGGCTGGAGTCGTGAAAGCTGAGCAAGATTCTAATCTCCACAATGAGCACTCACAATTACACTTGTCCAATAGTCAAAACCTATTTCCCGAGCCGTCTTCTAGCAGCAATGCAGGAGTAGGGAAGCAATACAGTTTCTTACAGGCAACTAACCTTGCGCTCGGCAACCCTACAACTTCAGAAGCTTCCATTTTCATCAACACTGTTGCTTCATCACAAAATGATGGCGGTCGCCACAAAATGCTCTGCGATGGATTGTCAAAACGATTCCTCCATTCGGATTGTGCTCTCTCTCTTCTGTCATCACCACCAACACAGAGCCACTCAATCCCAATGGCACAGCCCGTAGACCCAGGCCTAAATTACAATACTCTGGAGTCTATGGATTCAATTCTGGTTCCCAATGCTGGTGATGTTAGTATCCATTACCAAGGACTCTTTCACACAGCGCCCGATGTACCCTCTGATAATGAAGCTCCACAAACACTTCCCTTCTATTGGGAATAGTGAAGATACCCCCCCCCCCCAACCCTTTTTCTTCAGTTTGCAGAAACAATCTTGGACTTGGTTTCAATTGCGCTATCATTTTGTCATCATTTGGCAACATTTTGACTGAAGTTTGCATTTGAATGTGCTAAGTTTATGTTTTTGTCCCTTTCCTCCATGTTCCATCAAATCAAACACAGCACAGAACTTGTCTCTGTGATTCCAAAACTACATAATTACTGCATCATTAAATCTTAAATAATATAGTACTGATATAATGAATAAAAATTAAATCTTAAATGAGTCAAAATAACGGGTGAAGATCCTGTGCTGTCAGAAAATTAATAGCAGAGGTAACGACTTCATTTTGTATCAAAAATGATACCGTTTTGATAAACATTACTTTTGTCGTTAAAAATTAGAGTTAATTGTAAATTGCACTCCAAATGATTGTTCAGATCTTAATTTGTATTCTTAAAAGTTAAAAATTTTAATTTGTGCCCTAAAAAATAGAAATTTGTATAAATATACACCCCCAAAAATTAAAAATCTTAATTTGCACTCTCAAAGATAGAAATTTGTATCAATTTGTACCTAAAATTAACAGCCGTCAGTTTGTTACCTAAAACTAAATTGATAAATTATACTTAGATTCTCTCATGTTTGTCACTTAATCATTTGGACCTCTTCAGATTTAAAATATTACTCCTACATCTCATGACATTTGTGCACGTAAACTCTTTTCATTGATATCTGTTAATATAATCGTTAAAAAATATAACTTTATTCTAATAAAAAATTATAATTTCATATTACCCTTTATTTTGTGAGTCCGATATACTCTACAGTTTAAAATCAAACTTATCATTTGAACGTCCAATACAATTTAAGTATTTATATAATATTTTTTTATATCCAATGCAAAATATTACTCAATGTGCAACCCTTTATTCTATTGGACATTTAAATGATAAACTTAATTTTAAACTTTAGAGTATATCAGACCCACAAAATAAATGGTAATATAAAATTATAATTTTTTATTATGATAAAATCATATTTTTTAACGGTTATATCAACAAAAAAAGGTTACATGTTACACGTGCACAAACGTCATGAGATATAAGAGTAATATTCTAAATGTGAAGAGGTCTAAATGAATATATGATAAGCGTGAGAGAATTTAGTTGTGCGTGTTNTCAACTGCCCAACCTTTTCACTGAAGCTTTAAAGCCAACAGACCCATCCTTGCTTCTGAACATTCTTGGAAGAAGTCGATTCAAGTTTTCTAGAAAAAACCTCTTTTTACACTCTAGTGAGTCCCAGTACCNTAAAAACGAGAACAGATCTCTTCCTTGGTGAACTCGAGTGAGTCAGTTGAGTGGTCAGCTACGCTGCTTGGAACAGCCAGTGAGATCCGGTGGTAACCTGGAACGGTAATGGGAGACCCTTGNCAGTACCTTCCCTTTCTTTGCCCTTCTGTCTCTTTTGGTTTTTCGATCACCGGAGGTGTTTTCTGGTTGCCCTTCAGCGACCAATCCCCGAGAAGCCTTCTTGGGGATCTTCGTGGAAAAGACCCCCTCTATTTTTTATCATTTTTTGAAGATGCCTCGTCGTCGCCCTGCCCCCGAGAACTCTCAGGCCAGGGAAGTATAAAGTAAAAGTTGATGAACAAATTAATAGATTTTGGGTTAAGTACAACGTTCCCCCGAATGTAGACATAGAGGATTATGACCCAGCTGTGCATCCTCGTACCCTCGGTACCGAGGATGNAGTTTCACCTCTTGTTCTTGCCTTTAGTGAGGAGTATTTATACCTCAAATACTCATTATTATTGTCAGTGTGGTCAGTAGGTGATCATTAGATACAGGCAACGTGCGCACTGATTCCTATGAGGAATGTCTTCTCTCTTAACTGCNGCCTCTTTCCCGGGCAGTGTTGCCTTAATGTCTTTAGGATAATTATGGGGGTCCTAGAGTTCAATAGGCGTCTTGGGGTAAATGTCGGGCTGAACGATATCCTTTTTTGTTATTCCCTCTTGAAAGTTACGCCTCAACAACACTTCTACCTCAAAGCCAGGGACCCATCTATATACCTCGTAACTCATATTCCTGACTCGGACAAGGGGTACAAGGATGACCTACTTATCTTCAGGGGATATTGGCAGAGAGGTGTCGGTCCCGAGTATGACGGCTTGTTATACCCTTTGGAATAGAGAACGTCAAGTACGTCGATTCCTTTGGATCTATTATTTTTTGAGATTTTCTACGTGCTCATGACCCATTCCTCTTTTTGCTTGTATAGATATCTCCTCTCGGGAAACAGCTCCTCCACCTCAGTCGTTGGTGAACTTTGCGGACCTAGTCACCGTTTGGAGATTCACTGGTGAAAATGGGCTCGGCCGGGCTGCCACATCCTCCTGAATTATACTCCCGGATATAAGAAGTTTTCACAGCTTCCCCAGCCTTTCGATCCTTCGCGGTGGTCTGAACTCTTCGATCAGGCGGTGAGACAAGAGGTTGAGGAGAACTTGGAAGAAGACCCCGACCGGGCCTCGGAGGCAGAAATAGAGGGTGAAGTTGAAGAGCTCGGGGGTCAGAGAGGACTTGGTTCCTTTGAACGCCGAGGTGGGGACTTCGGGCAGAGACTCGTGGCCGAACTTCCAAATCCTACAGTCTCTCGACGCTGAAGACGCCTTTCAGGTAGCTATGTCCAACACGCCCCGCATTGATCTAGGGTTCCTCAGGCAGAGGCAAGCCCTCGCTGCTGGGAGGGGACGAGGATCTACCGGTGGGCCCCCATCTACAGGGACCAGCGCCACCCTATCCTCAAGAATCGTCAGCCGGGGTCAAGTGCGTGACCGGGATCCTCAGGTAGAGGAGAAGAGGAGGATCAAACATAGGCACGACGGCCTTGGCAGGGGATCCAGGGCCCCNATAGGCACGACGGCCTTGGCAGGGGATCCAGGGCCCCCTCCGCTCAGCAACAAAGTGGGAGAGGCCGTGGGTTACCTCCTGCTCCTCAGCAACAACAACGACAATAGCAACAACAGCAACAACAGCAACAACAACAACAACAACAGGGTCGACGACTCCATTTTACAGGACCCTCATGTCGCCCATGCAGTGAGTGAGACGCTGCATTTCGAGGCCGACATGGTTGCTCATAGGGGGCGATCAACGAATGTGTTGTTTCGCTCTATTATCCAGAATTCCCTGGTGGTAAGTTCATCTTTGCTTCAATATTTTTTAGCCGTCTTTCCTTTTAGTAACATGCCCTTTCATTTGCAGGCCACCCAACAGATCTCCATAATAGTGGCGCGGTATCATGAGGCTAGGATGGACCTCAGCGAATTCGAGAGCAGAAGGAAGAAGCCGAGGAAGCCCTTGCCAGTGCTAAGGAGGATGTGGCTGCCAGGGATTCCACCCTTGCGGGGTAGGCTGCTCAAATCGAGCAACTCCTCAAGGATGCTGAGTTGGCAAAGGTCGGCGCTGAAAAGCTAAGTGCTGCCCTTGCCGACGCTGAAGGGAGGATCACAGAGCAGACACAGCGACTTTCTGTGGCGGAGGAGAGGGCTGTTGGCTCAGAGGAAAGCTGTCTGACTCTGACCCAGGAGCTGGACAGGATCAAGGCCAAGGCGCAGAATAGGAAGTCCAAGGAGCAACTCCGAGAAGAGTTTGCCGATAACGTGCTCCCCGCTCTTGAGGAAAACAACAAGGAGTTCTTCAAGAAAGGGTGGGACGAGACGCTCCAGTCTATTGGAATCCCGTCAGACTCTTCGTTCTTCCAGATGCCCAAGTACGTGCCCTCGGCAGAGATGGAACTGGCCCGAAGCAGAGATTGCTGCCGAGGGCGAGATTCCAACGCCGATGCAAGTTTCGGCAGATCTGCCTGAGGCGGTAATAGTGGATTTGTCTGACGAGGCTCTGCCGGACCAGGACCCGGACCATAATATTCCTCAGGGTCTCTCTGTTGCCGAAGTACCTCCCGCTCTGCCTGCTCTCGAAGCTGCTCAACCTTTCTACGCCGATTCGCCCTCGACGGATGTCTTGGAGATGCCCGGGGCAAGATAAAAAACTTTTCTTTTCGATTGTACTTTTTCTTTTTTGTAGCTCTTGGGGACGCAAAGCCCCTCTTTTTGAAATAAAGCTCGAGTACTTATACTTTTTTGCGTACATTTTTTTTTGAACTGTATTCAGGGTCTTGCCCATTCAAGAGGCTTGCTCTTGTGTTTGCTTCGGGGGCAGGAGTTCTCGAACTCTGTCCCCAGGGTCTCGCCCTTGCAGGAGGCTTGCTCCTGTATTTGCTTCGGAGGCAGGAGTCCTTGAACTCTGTCCCCAGGGCCTTGCCCTTTCAGGAGGCTTGCTCCTGTATTTGTTTCGGGGGTAGGAGTCCTTGAACTCTGTCCCCAGAGCCTTGCCCTTGCAGGAGGCTTGCTCTTGTATTTTGCTTCGGGGACAGGAGTCCTTGAACTCTGTCCCCAGGGCCTTGCCCTTCCAGGAGACTTGCTCCTGTGTTTATTTCGGGGGCGAGAGTCCTTGAACTCTGTCCCCAGGGCCATGCCCTTGCAGGAGGTTTGCTCCTGTATTTGCTTCGGGGGCAGGAGTCCTTGAACTCTGTCCCTAGGGCATTGCCCTTTTTNAGGTCCCATTTTCCCTTCTGTTGGGTCACGGGTATTGGCCGTTACCCTTCTGAGGACCAGATCGTCGATTCAAAATTCTCGCGCCTTGACCCTTTTGTTGTACAGTTGGGAAATTTTTTGCTGATACTTGGTTATTCTCAAGGCGGTTGTCTCCCTTCTTTTTTCCACTAGATCCAAATCCAGTCCAAGTTGACGGTCATTTCCCCTTGCGTCGAAAGCTTGGGTCCTTATGGTCGGGAGCCCTACCTCGAGAGGTATGATTGTTTCTATTCCGTAAACCAGGGAGTATGGGGTTTCTCCTGTTGAGGACCGNGTCCTTATGGTCGGGAGCCCTACTTCGAGGGGTATGATTGCCTCCATTCCGTATGCCAGGGAGTAT